TGTAAGTGTGAACTAGGCCGGTTCTATGAGATTTGTGAAGGGCTATAATTCTCTAGAGCACTCATGAAAGACCAGGTTGTTCAGGGCCAAAATGAACACAATAGTGAGAACTAAACTGTGTCTAGTAATATACTGTATGAGTTCTATTGTCTTGGTTTACACAAATGGCTGAACAGTTCATGACATCATGTTCACTAGTTAACTAGTAAATCCAATAGTGTCTCACAAGAGAAGGTTCAAAGCCAAAAGCTACCTATCCTTTGCAGAATATTTCTAATATCTGTAGTCTCTGTAATTAGATCATGTTGTTGCATTTTCTCTCCATCAAATTCTATTCATGTGGAGGATTGTTGAAAATTTAATTTTTTATAAGCTTATTTTGGGCCAACTTTGAGCCTAAAATTGAGTGGGTCCCAAATGTCTTTTGGGGTAAATCCGAAGAGGTGACGTGTTTCATGTTACATGGCAAGTCACATGGTGAAGACGGTTCGTCAAAACCATTTATGATTGAATGGGAAGTTGACGTTGTTTTCGGATTCATGGAATGGACAATTAAAGAATTAAATGTGGGTTTCCTTGTAAGGCTTGTCCCACATTGAAACTTTAAGAGAGCTTGTGTATGTATATAAGCTCTAGATGGCAACACTTGAGTTGGGCCTCAAGGGGCACCCACGTTTGTAGAAGAGAGGAGTTATAGACAAAGTGAACTTTGGCTCAAACCACCACACATGTGCGTGCGCCGTCCGTTCGTTCGTCTGATCGGCTGGCCGAATAGAGCTGTACCGGGCGCGAGTGTAAGTTGTGGGTCGGGTTGGTTCTAAATATTGATTTTTTGGACAAAATTCATTTGAATTTTTTCAAATATTCTTGCGGGAAATTAATTTAAAATTTTGCACCAAATTTGAATTCAAATTTTGCTATCCATAATTGTGCCACTTCCAGTCCAATATTCCCAACAAATAAACAGATTTTAACGCCAGAAACTACCCAGTAATTCCAGACAGTTTTACAGACAGATTCAAATTTGAAACTACTGCAGATCTGTTGGAATTTTGAACTGTATCTGTTCAAAACAGTTTCATGCCTGTTTGGTTCAAAAACAACACCTATTTGGCAGATTAATTTGCCTATAAATACAGCCATTTCCAGCAGTCTTTGGGACCAGAAAAAATTCATTTTTGCTATCCAGATTTTGTTTTGTTGCATATATATTCTTTATATAATTTTAGGAGAAAAATTCAGAGAGTTTAGAACATAGGTTTTGTTCGCCGTACAAATTGTATGACGTGCTACTACAATTTGTGAATGCCATTGTATACTGGGAGATAGACATCATTTGTCCGTAATTACCGTAGCGGGGTGAATCTGTCTTAAGGACAGAGTGTCACACACTCAACTTGATCTTTTAAATATTTATTCGGTTCGATAAAATAAATTCGGTACGTAACTTATTTTATTTGTTTGATTTGTTTCAATTTATTTATTTTATACAGAAGATTGTTCCAACAGTAAGATTGTAGGCTGAACTCCTATAAAGAGTGATTTGATATTAATGTCATTTATTTCTTCTTCATCATCTGAGTTGTATATAGTAGTTGACCTTTCTTAGAGGTTGCCTAATGCTCAAATTGTTTTGGATTAACTCTATAACCACCATGCAATAACAACAATTGTGCTATGAAGAATTTTAGAAATATATATGGGATTCAAGATAAAATACATGTCGTCGAGTAAAAATATGATGGACCATATGTTAAGCTTCGAGGTGAAAGTCGGCAACATGAAAATTAGATCACCATCCCTGTCGAAGAAGTATCATCGGTTGTCCAAAAAAAGTCAATCTACCATATATCGACGAGAAGCAACAAATAAAGAGAGTTTGATGTCGCCATGAAACCTTCCAAAAGTGGTAAAGTACGTAAGGACAAGAGACACATAGAACATGTTCCATCAAGAAGATTGCAATGAATTTCCCTTAGTTTTTCAACAATGATTAGAAGGATAAATGAAATTCTATAAATAGGTGGTCAATTATTACATCAAAGGTATGCAATATCAAAACACTCTACAAGATATCAAGAACTCTCTTTGAAGTTGTTAATTTGATCTTTAGAGTGCTTATCGAGCTAAACCCTCATCCAAACTCGGTGTCTTATATATTATATAGGTAGAGTAAGAACAACCATCTTCATTAGCTTCAAGGGAAAAAAGTAACGTATTTCCCGTCCCACCATAATATATATATATATATATATATATCATTCTCTAAATTTTGTAATACAATTTAAAAACTGTCTAGCATTCAATTTTTAATTTTATCAACACCAAAAAGGTCAATATCTTATTTTTTACTTTGGAAAGTGAGAGTAAATTTTGAATCTATACATAAAATTATCTACAAAATTACATGTAAGAACCAACACTAGATACAATACTTTAAAAACGAAGAAGAAAATTATAAAAAAACACTCTAAAGTTTGACCATTCTAATAAAATAAAACATGAATTTTTAATTTGTCAATTTAAATCATAATATTTTAATTTATTTTTAATTTAAACCATTCATTAAGTAAAATCGAAGGAGAATAAGTATTTTAGTTATTAAGGCTAGGTTTGGCATAACCTATAGAATCCATCTTTTTATCTTTTTTCCATCACATCACCTCTCTACTTTTTTGCACATCTTTTCGTAAAAAGACAAAAAGTGCACTTTTTTAGGACACCCCAAACCAACCCTAAATCTAATGTGAGTATATATAAATTGTCTAAAATATCATTTATTCTTGAGTTTAATGATTAAAATATAATTTTTTTGTCACTTTTATTTAACAAAAATAGACAAATTATTTACATTGAAAACGAATCAAAAGTCTAAATTTTAAATTAACAAAATTAAAAACTTATAATTTATTTTGTTACCAAATCAAGCGTAGTTTTTTTTATTGGAGTTTTTTGTTTAAGGTCTCTGATGTTAGAATTTTATAAGATAAAAGCTATGTAACATATTTATAATAGTTGAGACTCTTCAATATTTCACAAATTTTTAGCTCTTCTCAAATAAATTACTTTTTTCACAGAGAAATTTTAGCTCATCATAAAGATTTCTCTATAATGCGCTGAATTTTTTTTAATAATATTATTGAAGGACCTTAACTAATAAGAAAAAATATATTAGAGCTCTCCACAAGGGTGATCTAGGTTCGAATTCTGGGGGTGCAAAAAATGGTTGAATTTCAATCCTGAACTCTTCTGTAACGTGTGATTAAACTCTATTGATGCCTCGATAATGAGTCCCCTCTTTTAAATTGGGTTTAATCTGCTCAGCAACTGGCTGATAGCATAGAACATCCCTTTTTTGTCTTGTTCCAAAAAAAAAAAATGTTTTGTTTGAATTTACTTTTCATTAGAGGTAAGCAGCGGATATTTCGATCTGTCCAAACCGACTGAACCGATTCGATCTGCCGCATTTTGGACGAATGCGTGATGACGAGCGGACGGTTGCATATTGATTTTTTTCAATTCACATAGTTTTGGACGGATGACGGATTTGAGGTTTCTTTGGCCGCAACCGAATCGCCAAATCGCGTGCATTCCTAGTAATTTGTAAGACTTTGTATTTTCAATTTGTTTAGATATTCTGTTTGTTTTTTCAATTGAAAAAGAGTTTAGATATTCTGTTATGTTTCCAAATTTTTTCAATTTGGAAATCCTTTTATCAAATGGCAAAGGTTGATATTTGATATTTTTATATGAAATATATAAGGTTTAATTTTGTCAATTTTTTTTTTAGAAAATCAAATCAAATAGTTTTCGAATAAAAAAAAGTAATGAAATAATTTTGATAATGCATGATTTTCTTATATGTATTTATTATTATTATTTGACAATTTATTTGATAATTTTTTAATTATGTTGAATTAGATTATGATCTAAAAAAAATATTGACAAATTATATTATATTTAAAATTTATAAAAATTTAAACAATCAAATCAATTTATATCCATCTATTCACTCAAACCGCATCCGTAAATTGATAAAAACGAATTAATTTTTTTCAATCCACTTATCCAATCAACGGATGAGAGATTAAAAATTCACTGACCGTAATCGAACCTTACTCTTCATGCATCCTATACAATTTTAATCACCACACAGCATGATCCAAGCCGTATATAGGGGTGTTCGCGGATCGGTTTTGTGCGGTTTGCGGTTCGGTTTTGACCCGCCCGCATCTATGCGGTTTAGGAAAAAGTCAACCCGCAACCGCCCGCAGTGCGGTTTGCGGTTTGTGCGGATAGGGTTTGTAAATGTGCGGGTGGTTGCGGGCGGTTTGCGGTTTACACTTTTTTCTTTAAAAATTAATTTTTAAGTTTTTTTTTTCCCATCGAATTTAGGCATTAGATTCATTTTATATATTTGTGATCAATTGATAACAATTTTCTGATGAGTTTACAAATAAAAATTGAATATCACTAGCATTTTTGTCATGAAAAAAATGTATATCAATGCATTAAAGGTTGTACTCAATTAGAATTGTCAATTCAGTAATCAATAATCAAACTAGAAGCTTCATCGATCACCAGAAGAAAATTTTTATTAGGAAAAAGTGGATGAGTCATAAATGAAAATCATATAAAAAACCAAGTTTAGGACTTGATAATTCTACGACATTAAGAAAGTTGAGAAATACTTAAAAATAAGGATCCTAGTGTCATAGAGAACATAAGGTGCTCCTGTTAAAGTTACAAAGTTGGTATATAAAAAATAATAATAATAATACTAATTAAAGTGCGGGCGGTTTTTGCGGGTTGCGGTTTTAACCCGCGACCCGCCCGCAACCCGCAAATTTGTCATATTTCAAACCGCATCCGCCCGCATTATGTTTGCGAAACCGCCCATTTATATGCGGGTTGGGCGGGTTGGGCGGTTTGAGCGGTTCGGATAAACCGTTGCCCACCCCTAGCCGTATATATAGCAAGCGCAGGCGGTCTCGTGAAATACACAACACTACTCTCCAAACCCAAAATTATTAGACTCTCTCTCTCTCTTTCACATTGTCGGTGTGTGAATTGTTGCGAGGGTTTTTTGGGCGCCATGGATGCCTCTACTGCTCTGCCCTCTGATTCAAATCCAACCCCCGGCGGCGCTTCCAAGTTCCTCGCCGACCTCCCCTCTCGCGGCCTCTTCTCCTCCACTGTCCCCTCCTCCAATCCGGTAATCTCTTTGTCTCCTCACTTTTCATAAACCCTAGTTTTCATGCTCATTTTTACAATACTATGATTTTGTAACACGACTTCAATTTTCATCAGTTTGAACTATTGTAGTTGATTTGAGAAACTGTGTTTTTTATTGATAGGTTGAAAACGAAATGCGTTTGCTTTCAGGTGTTTAGATCCGTTTGATTAGTATTTCAGAAGTGGGTTTTTGTTTCGAAGCAGTAATTGTTTTGTGAAAAGTTAAATTCGTGTTTTTGGAATGCTATATAAGCAATGCTGTAGAATTTTTTTATTTTAGAGTCCGATTGGTGTGATGCATATGATTTTGTAGTACTTTTATATGTATGCTTTGTGTCCATGCTAATTTTCGGGAATTAGTTTTTACGAAATCACTGAGGTTTTTACTGTTTTGTTTGTATGCTATTAAACTACACGGGCATGTTATTGATCCTTTGTGCATGCTTGATGTGAATGGTTATAATTGGGGCCTGTATTACCAGAAAATACTAATGCTCTAGCGAATTACGTATTGGTATACATATTCCGAAACGTGGTACACTTCCGTTCCAGAATAGCAAATTTTGTGATCCGAAATGATTACAAAATTTTTTCCTTAAATGTTTCCTTGGGAGTGAAAAAAAAATCAAATATAATGAATTAAAATCTAAGTTGAGTTAAGTTTTGACGAGACAAAACATAAAAAATGAGTCATAATGTTTGTAGAAATGTTTTGCTACATGATTTTTTTATTTTATTTTATTGGATTCTTAATATTTAAATAAAAAATTACTTTAGAAGTACATTAAATTCTTAAGTGTAATATATACAAGTCTATCCTATCGTACCACATTTTAGAGCATGTGGCATATCATGTTCCTATTTTACATATCGGAATGAGCCACGTTCCAAGTAACATAAATTGGGGCACATTTAAGAGGTTTTTATATCATTTGCAAATTGGGTTCAACAAATCTTATTCATTTATATATTTGATGATACTTGTGCTACAACGATAATCCAGAATTGCAGTTATTATTCATGGTTTTTCTATTTCTTTATTTGCTTGAGTTCAACTTTAGCAAACAATTAATCAAGAAGCTCCTTGTATTTGCCATGGGCGAATATGGATTCAACTTGCTACTGCCACTGGGCTGCTGAACATTATTACGATTTTTGGGAGCACTTGGACCTCCAAGTTTTAGAGTTATAGTTTTAATTTGAGGCTTAAGTTGCATCTGATCATGATCTCATACGTGTTTGTTAACCGTAGTACTGGTTTGACATTTTGGTTCTTTTGAAGAATAGAACAACTGCTAACATGTTTGCGGAGTTGCATGCACAGTTGAAGCTTCTTTTGGGAGTTTTGATCTAGTAAAGGTTAATGATATAAAATCATATTTCTAGCCATAATAGTTAACAAATGAACATTTCTGTTCCTACATGTTTCTATTCTAGGTTACGTGCTCTTATTGTTAGGGGTGTACAAAAATCCAAATCACCTGATCAACCAGACGAAACCGATCTGAAAAATAAAGAAGCAGATGGTTTTGTACTGAGGAATGGTTGGCAACAGGTAGCATGAGTAAAAAAATTCAAAATTTTGGACAGGCAACGGTTTAATACTCATCTCAACCGACAAAACCAATATGACCGTTAACAATTTTACGTGTGTCGTTTTATTTACTGTCCGAATTATGCATTATCTTTAAGCCATCATGACATTTCATTTCTCCAGACTCTTTGTCTGTCATGCATTCAATTCTCTCTCTCGTGTATTCAACTCTTTTCTCTCTCTTGCATTCAACGCTCACTCATTCGCTCTTTCTCTCACGCATCCAACTCTCTCTCTCTCTCTCTCTCACACACACACACACACATTCAATTCTCTGTTTCTCTCTCTTGCAATCAACTCACTCATTCTTTCTCTTTTTCTCACGCATCCAACACTCTCTCTCTCTCTCGCTCTCTCTAAATTCTCCGCGCATTCAACTCCCTTTCAGTCACTCTCGATGTCTCTTGATCATTTCTTCTCCCTTATGTATCCCCTTCTTTCACAGCTTTGAAACTCCCTCCTTCACCGCCGCATGCCTCTCTTCCTCTCAAATCTAATTTATTCATCAACCCCTCGCTCCTCAAAGCCCCTATCCACTTTGATTAATTGATTTTCAGCATCCATTTAGTGACTCAATGACGAAGGGCCAAACCCTAATTGGGTTGTTTCTATATTTTTTTCCTCCCTCAAGAATCATTCCTTGAACCCCGCCTCTCCTTTTTTGCTGATATCTTCTTTTCTTTTGCGATTGAAAACCTTTTTTCTGGGTTTTTTTTTGTTTGTGTACGGTGCAACTCGATCAAAACCGACCACAAAACCGACTACTACAAATGGTTGATTTTGAACTCCACTTCGGTCGGCAGCGGTTCATTACATTTGCAACCCGCCATGGCTGGATTGGTTGGTGGATTGATGGGAAAACTGACCCAACCTGACCCGCGAACAGCGTAAGTTGTATGTATGTCAATTTGCCTTTTCAAAGTTAAAGGTACGGAAATTGCACTTTATTTATGCCTTTGTTAGCCACTCTGGCATAGTTTTTCACATGTCAGCTTGCTGTCAGTTGTAAGGTTGTTTCTTTAAGGCCCCTTCTAGCGGTAAGGGCCACTAGAGTTCTCACATTTTTTTGTTAGTCTTTATAAGGGGTTATCTTTGCATGGGCAAGGTACTTTAAAATAAATTTTTTGAGATAGGTTATCTTATAAAGGGAGCTGGTTATGGTATTCTAGTCTGGGAATTCTAAGGGTTAGATTGCATGATAGTTTATCTTATAAAAGGTGGTTATTGTGTTATGGTCTAGGAATTCAAAGGGTTTTTGGTCTTTGAGATCTAGGGTTTTTGGATTTGCTTATCAAGGAAAAAATGATGAAATGATGTTAAGTTTTGAGCTATAGGAATTTCAAAGGAAAATAGGTTTATAGATGAAAACTGTAAGTTGGAGAAAGCCAGTGTGTTTGGTAACAGAGTTATTAATCTATTACACGACTGATCAGGATATGTTAATGAAACCATCAGCTACTTCTTTGGTTGCTAGATGCAGTTGATGTGAAGACTTGGACTTTGAAAGGTGGGCTTTCTGCCCAAATTCAAGTGCCTAGGCCCTTCAATTTGGGCAGAAGATTTCTGTTTGATGGTCTGCACGTGTTTCTTAGATTGTAAACCTGCTTGATCCAATGTTTCTTAAGCCACTCATAATCACATTCTCTGGTACAACCCCAACTTTCCATTTGATCTGGTCTTTGTAGTGTGTACAAGATGGATATGCAAGTTTCAATGAGTTGCCACATGAATAAACACGAATGCTTTTCTTTTCAAATATGCTTAATTTATGTGTTGAGAAATTTTGTGCAGGGTGGGATGCGGGTTTATATCTGTGATCATGACACATCACCCCCAGGTTTGTTTCATTACTTAGTGTTTATACTTTACATGTTTTTAGCTCTCTCAAACTTATCAATATATATGTTTTGGATTTTTCAACTGGTCTACAAGTGTTGAACTCTTACTCTAAATTAGCATAGCTCAATCATCTGTCTTTTTGAACTTATTCTAAATAGTTGTGTTCCTAAGGTCATGAATGGTTCATTGGTGATCATTATGGTGACTGTATTCAACTTACGGAAAGTTAATAAAAGCTTCTCAATTTATGGGTTTGTTGTCAACCTTCTGGAAATTTTTGCGTAGGGGTATAGTTTGTAAAGATTTGTAGTTCATATCGAGACATAGCTCAATCCCATGAATTTTTGAATCAAATAAATCCAGCTTTCCTTTGTTCATAAAATCTCGAGTTTGGCGCTTCAGATGCTTGAGCACCATCCACCGATTTCACTCATCCATTGCTATGAAAAACAACTGTGTAAACAATGACCAAACTAAAATGGGGGGGAAAGCATAGGTAACTGATATGTAAAATTCCTAGTTTCCCAAAGGAAAAATAAATTATAAGAAAAAGCTTCAATTTGTCATGAAAGTGCACTATGTAGACGGAACACATGCATATATGAGGCAAAATGAAATTGTAACAGGTAAGAAGAGATCTTTAATCATTTTTTTTATTATTGCTTTTTGCTCAAACTTATCATTTATTTAGATGCCCTCTAAATAAAGCCTTTTGTATGCGTCAAACACTAAATCGATTTGAAATGAAGAGCAGTACAATCATGGCACACTTCAGTCTTGACTTCTACTAACCTTCACCAATTATGTTGTTATTTGACATAAATAGCATGTTTGTTGGGTAAATATAGAGAATGTTTGGTGTGGCTTCTCAGGAAAGCAAAGACTTCTTAGAGATGTAATTTTTAGAAATTTCTTAAAAGAAAAGCCCTTTTTAGAAGAAAAAAAATGTGTTTGGTAAGAGCATATTATGAATGTGTTTTCATTATTATTTTTATATATTCTTAGTTGTAAAGTTATAGAATTTTAGGTCCAATCTTTGTTTTTGCCCTAGCTTTTTAGCCAAATACAACTCAATCCAAACTCCCGTTCATATGTGGAAAATATGACGAGAAAAATATGAATTTTTTATACTACTTGATCCATCAGTTGTTTTTGCACATGAGTATGTACCAACTATTGAACTAGCCAAAGAAAGTAAAATAAAAATATAGTAGCAAATTGTGGTCGACGTAACGGTGGCGGTGGTGCGGTTGCAATTGCAATTGCGGGGTGTAAAGGCTAACGGTTGCGGTAACCAAAACCGTTTTTCGCACGATTTGAACAAAACTTACCGATATGCATATTTTTTTTCCATAATCATATTTATTGGGTTTTAAAATAAATATTGATCAATTTTTGTAAATTTTTAAGTATGATCTAATATATTTCATATTTTTAAATAACTATAAACTGAATTTTTTACTTTTTATTTTAATAATTAATGACTTTATATGTCAAATTCATATTACGCTTGTGGCAAAAAAAAAATATTGGACTTAGATGTATAAAATTATTTTTTTAATTATTATATTTGTAGAAGCATATGCAAATTTTAACTTGAATAGTTTTAAAAAATAAATTATACATGCTAATGTAATCATATAAAAAACTAAAAGATAAATTATAAAGAATTTTTTTTTGTTTTTTGGTTTGGATCACTTGAATATTCATTCTCTTTTTGGATAACCTGTAAATGAAAATAAAATAAACTAATCAAAAAAAATTGACAGGTATAAAATATGTATTAATATATAATTATAGGTGTCATGTTTTGTAGATATTTTACAAAAAAATCAATCACTAACTATTATATATAAGATGAACAATGACAAAAATAAGAGTAAATAAGAGCCTAAATATATATATATATATATATATTTAATCAAACCAAATAGATAATGGCTACACTATTATTATTATTATTATTATTTTCAAACAATATATAGGCTCTGTTTGGTAGAGTTTATTTTCAGCTTATTTCAATTTTTGCTTAGTTTAAGTTATTTTGATGTGTTTGGTTCAGTTTAACAATACAGCTTATAGCTTTTTGTAAGTCAAAAATTAACTTATTCTTTGAGTGGGGGAGGAGAAGCTTAATTTATAAGTCAAAAATCAGCTTATGTTCACAGTTATAAGTTATAAGCTGTTAGGTTATAAGTTATAATCATTTTCTCACAATTTTACCAAACAGGGCCATAGATAGATACACTCAAACAAAATAGTTGAGTGATAGCAGCTGAATAGAATAGCATAGGTCTTACATCTTCAACAAATCAATAACATATTCTTCATCTTCTCTCGTCTCTCTCTCTATCTCTTACTCCTCCACCTTCCCTCTTTATCTTTCCTCTTCTCTCTCTATCCCTTTTCCCCCATTTTCAGTTTTTTTTTTTTTTCCTCGAAAGAAGCAACTTGAAACCGTTACGTAACGGTGTGTAACAAGCCGTTATGACCGTTATGGCCGACACACGTGTGAATCTCAATCATACCGCAAAAGCGGCCGTAACGGGTGGCGGTAACTACAACAACCGTTATGTAACGGCATTATGTAACGGTTGCGGTACATGTGCGCGTGCAAGAGAGATTGATATAGAAGGATGTAACTTGAGGAAGAGACAATACATGGGCATGGTAATTAAAATACATACATATCACATAATATCCCATCCTAACTTTACAAGAAGTCTTTAATAAAAGCTACCTCGACAAGCTTCTACCAGACAAACTTTTGAGCAGGTGGCCTTATTCTAGAAGAAGCCCATTTGATGAGTTCACCAACACTTGCTATTTCATTGTAAGGACTTTCATAGCCCAGAAGCTCGTTTTGAGTTTTCACGAAAAGTTACCATATTCTGATGGTTGTTTGGGTAGAATGTGTCAGTGTAATGTTAGAAAGGGTATAAGAAGACATTGAATCAAGTCTACTACAAAATTTAGTCTTCTCTTAGTGTTCTATTGCAAGTCATTGCATCAAATGTTTTTTTGAAGCTATTTTGCACATCTTAATTCTCCTTGATTTGAATATATGTAAAAATAAATTGATATTGTAAAATAAATTGATGTATTATTATTGATTGATGTATTACAAGATTGATCAATTACAATTCCTGATGTATTATTATTGATTGATGTATTACAAGATTGATCAATTACAATTCCTATACAATCTATATATAGAAGAAAATGTGGTAGTAGGTGTAGTGGAGGTGATAGTGGGTTAGGTGAAGTGGAGTGTGTGGTGAAGTGGAGGTAGGTGAAGTGGAGTGTGTAGTGGAGTAGGTGAAGGTAAAGATGGGAAATTCTAACAATATATTATGTACAAAAGACTTTAAAAAGAATAATATGTTAACAATTTTTTATTTCACTCTCTTGGAATTTGTACCGTGCACGTAAAATTAGACTAGTTTTTGCGAGAGAGATTTATTTTTTAAAAATTCCGATTGTAAAGAATAACCAAGTCTTTAGAGTGGTGGGGCCTGTGGAGTTTTTACCAGTTACATTTTCATAAAAAAACTGAGAAATAGATTATTATGTTCCAAGATAGTACAATCTTGAATGTCAAGTAGAAGGGTGAGGTTTTGGCTGGATTCATGGTGGGTGCATATATCTCTAATCTCTTAAGGGTGGTATTCTCAAACCTCTTTCGGATGGCTACTAGCTCTAATGTGATTGAACGATTCTCCTCTTTGGACAGTGGACCAGTGTGGAATTCCCTGTTCCGCAGGGCTCTGGAGGACTAAGAAATTGAGTCTATGGATTCAGCTTGCTATAGGCACAGAGATTCAATGAGGTGACAGATGTTGTGGGATGGAGTGTTTGTAAGGATGGAACATTTTCAGTATGCTCTTTTTACTAGGACTTGAGGCAAGAATTTCAACTATCTTCTTCTTCATTCCCCAATGGGTAGAGAATTATGGAATGGTTTGCTCTGATCTGAATTTGGTATTTCATGGATTATACCATTTTCAGTGGGAAAGCTTTTAGCTTGCTAGGGTTGTTGCCCAAGGAAGTCGGACAGGAAGAAATGGTAGACAACACCCCAGTTTGTTTTGTGGACAGTTTGGGTGGAACACTATAGAAGATCCTTTGAGAATGTTGCGTATCTTTGTGCAATCTAAAATGATCTATACATCCTTTGTTTTCTTTGTTGAGAGGAGATTGTCTTTTCTTTATTCTGTCTTTTGTGCAGTTTATAGGAGACTTTTACATGCGAGTGAATGTGTAGCTTCCAAGCTTTGGTCTTTGGGTGTACATGGTTTACTCTCTTGAGGCATTTTTGCTAAGAGTACTTATAAGATATTGTTAAAATTCAAGTATTATTGATTGATTGGTTTCTGATTGATATTGGTCTTTGGGTGTACATGGTTTACTCTCTTGAGGCATTTTTGCTAAGAGTACTTATAAGATATATATATATATATATATATAAGAGCACATGAAGAGAGCAACTCAGACAGTTTGTGAATTCACTATTGGTCATTAGATGAACTGAACAAATGATTCTTTAGTTAGACGTTCTCTTCTAAATGACATCATTCAATGGAAAAGGAAGTTCAAGTTATGATGTGGCTTTGAACCTCCCTAGCCTCATCAATCCCAACTCCTTATCAGGACTGGACCATGTGCCAAATGCGGTAATTTATGAAATTTACCTTTTATGATTTATTTAGAAATTAGAGTCAAGTAGTTGCGTTTTGAGCTATTGTTGGGTTTTGTTGAGTTGAGTTTATTACGACAATCACCTTTTGGCTTGCATTGTTCAACACAAGTTTGGTTATGTTGGCAGTTTATTCCAAGTATAAAACAGGACATTTTTCTTTTAAATTTATTTATTTATTTATTTTAATTCCCCACATGCTCTTACAAACTATTTTATCTCATGGTTACCCAAAAAATACATTTTAAGCTGAAATTTGATCAAGAAATTGGATGTGTAGTGGTTAACAATAAAACTAAAAAATGGTAATTGGAAATCACATTGTCACAATAGTCATTGAAAGATAAGAATCATGATCCTCCCCAAATGTGTTTTCTTTTCATTTGTGTTTGATTTGGGTTATGGTTGGTTGCATTTTTCTTCATGATAAATTTGTTGCTTGGCTTGGCATTGATCAAAGCAGTGTCTTCTAGTGCTTATATTTTTGGGTTGTTGACCAAATTATCCAGGAAATGGACTTTTAAATATTTTTAAGTCCAAATGTTTGTATTCACTTAGTACGACACCTTTCATTTTTTCCCCCTGTTTACATTTATTATGGTATGCCTTGCCATGTTAACATTTAATGTTCAATGTATGTTGTGACTGCTTTTCCACAATATGGAATTTGGTTTAAGATTCATTTATATCTGAAACTATAAGATCTGACGCTTCCCTTTTGTATGTCCAGAGGACCAGCTGATAAAGACAAACCAAACGAACATACTGATTAGGTCTCTTGTGCTTAAGAAACAGAAGGGGGATTCCAGTTCAAAGGATGTAAAGACTGCAGCTGCAAGTGAGGCTTCTAGAAAGAGGTGTTTAGCTCCATTCTTTCTTGGACAATTTACAAATGATGTCTTTTTTAGATAGGATACAAATGATGTTTAATGTGATGCTTAATGCTTGTTAATTTCTATTTTCATGTTTGGCGTTTCCTGTGAATGCTCTTGAGCAGCCAGCACCTGTTTGTTTCATGCTTGCACCAGTTCAAAGGATGTTTTTTTTCTATCTTTTATATTTTCAGGCCTGCTGAAAAAGTAATGGATGGCCGGGCTTCAGCAAAAAGGGCTGCGACCAACACTCAAGGTGAGTTCTGTAAGGTGCATCACTTGTTGACTGTGTGTAGAAATATATTTATGACTTCCACAGAACCTATGAAGGACAGATGCCTCTACGGAGGTCACGAACCGGTATTGGAATAGCATACCCAAGGTTGATGAAAACAAAATTGACATAGAATAAATATATAATATTAAAACAACGACATAGAATAATTATACTTTTTTTTTTTTGATAAATGAATAAATATACAAAATTTTATGTTTTGCACGTTTCATGTCTTGCATTTTTTTGCACGTCCATGCTTCTTGGCATAGAACTATGCTGCAAAGGAGACATTTCTGGAATATGTTACCTGAGTGTGCGATGTTATATCTCTTTCTTCTCCTTTGTTTTTTGTTTATTTTGTTTTTTGGTTTTATCTTTTTGTGGTTGGTTCCTGGACAAATCTGAGTGGTGTTGGGATATTGTTATATTGGCCACTTAGAACTGAGGTTGGCGTGTCCTTGTCATGATATTTTTTCTTAATCATTCCAATTTTGCTTTTCATGTCACTGTCGTTTGTTGTCGAGGGAATCGTATCTTGTCCAATCCTGTGTACAATATAGGGTTGTTGGCCTTCAAATTGTAGTCAGTTTATAATGCTCTAGAATATTCTGCATTTGCTCTTGTGATTGTGTCTTAAAGATGCAGTTTTATGTTTGGGGTGTGGCCTATTGAGCCCTAAGATAGTTGACTACCAATATGATAAATTTATTTAGGCGATGCTTATATTTTTCAATGGAGTGTTAATAAAAAAAATTGCCTACAAAAAGTTTCGTTATAAATTTCAGTTCTGTCATACATGTTGATCTTTGCGTGCACTCTATTCGTTCAAACATTTTCTTAATTGACTGCAGTCTGTAGTTTCGTTTGGATATAATTCCCATTTAAATATTTATATGAGCATTTTTTCTTTTCTTTTTACTCTTTGGGCAAGTAACTTTATTCACATTACTATTGTCATTCCTAATATCTAATGGCTTTTCGAGCATGTAGAAGGATCCAAATCTCGTGTACCTGAGAAGGATTTGCATAGTTTGACTGTAGAGAGACTTCGTGCTCTTTTGAGAGAGAAAGGTCTTTCCAATAGAGGAAAGAAGGTAAGTATCAAAGACACGTAGAATGTGTTTGGATTTTGGATTTGTAGAGGGATTTGTGGAGGGAAAGGAGAAGGTAAGGAAAGTGATTCCTTTCCCTTCGTTAATGACATATAAGCTTTTCCCTTCTCTTTTTGTCATTTCCCCCTTCCCTTTTCCTTGCCCTCTACAATATTTTTCTCAAATCTAAGATCCAAATGCAACCGTAATCTATGTTATTTTAGAACTCTTAAATGCATTCGTTGATATCCTAATCTGAGGATACACTGGTGGAATCCATCTAGTCTTTTTAGGACTATCCCATTGATGGTCTTGATGGATCCCTTCGATTGGTTCAACTGGATTGATTTTCAACAGAAAGTTTTCTCATGTTTTCTTTATAAGTCTGTATTAACTCTTAATCTGGAATCAAATGGGCAGGATGAACTGGTTGCACGATTAAGAAGTGCAAGTGGCTAATTTAAAGGGAAAGAAGAGTTGCGGAGGTAGAGAGACTAAAGTCGCTCTTTGAATCTGTACATCAGATGGCAGGAAAGTAGACAATTTTCTTCTTTTGATGGAACTTAGTGTGTTATGGGGACTAATTTAGAGTAATATGAGACTTTGTCGACCTCTCCAATGCCTAGTTTTGTATGATTGTACATTTGAAGTGTATTAGTGCTTTTTTGGTTGCAAGTGTCAGATGGTATCCTTTTTATTAGTAAGAACAAGTTGGCCATGCAAGTTTTTGGTTTTCAGCTTTATGTTGTATGTTTTATTAATTGTGAAATTTTCAAAATATTAGATATTTTGAAACATCAAAAAAAAAAAAATATTCAAAATATTAGATATTTTGATAGAATGATAGAAAGGGATTTTGTGTTTTTTTTTTTTTTTTGAACATCAAAAAAAAAAAAAAAATTCAAAATATTAGATATTTTGATAGAATGATAGAAAGGGATTTTGTGTTTTTTTTTTTGTGGGTCTCAAAATCTGAATAATATTCATTATTTTTCTTTTTGGACATTGATCAAAAGGAGGTACTTGTTTTGAATTTGACCATTGAGAGATGGGCCGTCTCATTTATTGCTTTGTTGGGGTTCTTTTCCAATTCATGTTGGGAAAAATAATAAGTTGAGTGAATGGTGCTATTTATTTTACAAAGGATTCGTAGCAATTTAGTTTTGCTTGATTTTTATTTGTATATTGTATAAAATTATGTTTTTTTTTCTCTTTTTTTTATTATCAAGAAGTGAAAAGAGATTGGTTAGTTGTATTGATTTTTGTAATTTATAAATTTGTTGTGCTAAGAGCACAAAAAAGACATAAATTATTTGTTTCTTATCTGTGCCTAATATGAAATCTATTGTGTGCTTAAATTTATTTGCATATAAATATAAATATAATTAATTTAATTATATTAATATTTATTTTATTTTAAATATTATTCATGAATTTTTTTAATAAAAAAAATATTGGATTTTTTAAAAGTTCATTAAAAAAATAAAAATAACTCAAATTTTCATGATTCTTTTTTTCTTGGCAATTGAATGGGGGGCAACAGGAATTTTGAGTCTGCTCTTCACAATTTAAAGGGTTAATTTCAGTTTTATCCTTTAAATTATCATAAATTTGTTTATTTTATCTCTAAATTATTAATTTTATCTATTTTGTCTTTGAAATTTCTATTTCATCTTTAAATTATTAATTTCATCTATTTATTTTTTAAAGTTTTGAAATCACCCTTTGCAAGCTTTAATAGTTATTAATTTGTACAAAATAACTTTTTTTTATCTAAAAAATTATTTATTTGTTTTTAAAAATATATTTGCCATCCATTTTTTAGAAGGTAAACATGATAAAATAAAATTGTTATGACCGTTGAATTGATTTATTTTTCATAAAAGATATGCATAAAATTTTATAAAATGGATGATTTGAATAATCAAAATAATATTTGTGACAAATTTAAAAATATTGGTCAAATTTAGATATGAACCTTTTAAAATTTAAAACCAAACCAAACACTGTAGAAAGTTGGAATGATTAATAAAAATAAATAAATAAATTAATTAATTAATGTGACATTAAACTTTTTAAATTAATAAAATGAATGATATTTTATTATTGAAATAAGTTTTGTAATAAATTCAAAAATATTAGTCAAATTTAGATATGAACCTTTTAAAAAATCAAAACCAAACCAAACAAGGTAAAAAGTTGGAATGATTAATAAAAAAAATTGATGAGACATTAGATTTGAACAAATTATTTTTCTGACTGATCATCTTTACAAATATTTCATTAAATTTACAATTGATTAAAAACTTGGTTAAAATTGTGTTTCAACAATTTTATTAAATTTATATCAAATGATGAAAGGGCTACATTTTTTTATCAAATTAATTATTATTATTATTATTATTATTTTGTGTGAAAATGCTTCAACCCAAAAAAAAAAAAAAAAAAATCAAGCCCAAATAATTATCATTTTGACAAAACATACCAAACCAACCCAGGTCACTCTCTGTGTTCATGAAAGAGAAAGTTAAAACTCAGCTGCTATTTTGCTGTTTTTCTTGTTTTGCAGGGATTCCAGCGATACGAACCAGAGACGCGACAGAGGAGGCCATGGCTTCTTGAAACATAATCACTCCACACTGCACTTGCCAAAATTCAAGTTCGCTTTCATTCTCTCTCTCTCTCTCTCTCGATGATGATGATGATGATGATGATGATGTGTGTGCTATGAAAATCAATCAGTTGAATAGTATAGGGAAATTATTATTATTATTTCCTTCTACCCCTGCTCTCTGTTACCGTAAGTGTGGTTTTGTATGTTAGTGGGTGTGGCTGATCAGGTTTCGTCATGCTTGTGGTAATTGTAGATCAATTGTTTGATAAAATGACCCACCCAGTGCCCTTCTTCTTATTCTGCTCTACTCTTTTTTTATTTTATTTTATTATTATTATTTTTTTATCTGTCTGATTGTTTGAACAAAAGGATTACATGGCAAAAAGCATTTTACCAGTTAGTTATAACTAGACAAATTACCTATATTCTCATCTAATCTAGTTGAACATAATGTCCTATATAGTTAATAAATAACAGTTTTTATACCATAAGGTTCATTCTTAAAGATATAAAGTACTGTGTTTGGTGGAATTTTAGTCAGAATTGTTCCATCTTTAGGGGCTGTGCAATTTGTTCCTCTTGTTACCGATGAGCTATGAAGCACCCACACTTCAAAACAAGAGCCGTATCCGTGTCGGGCACATGGACACATATGGTGTGTCCCCTTATTTAATTAAGGTGTGTCCCCTTATTTAATTAATTTATTTTCAGGGACACATTGGGGACATATTAAAGACATGCCAACTTGTCTTTTCCCCCCATTTCCGTTAGTGCTTTTGTTGAATCTTGGATGTTAAATGTTTATTATTTTTTTCATAAATTTAAATACTTAATAGATCATCCATAAATATATATATATATATATATATATATAAAAGTTGTAAGTTTTAATTTAAAAGTTTTTTTTTTTTTTTTAAATATAGAATTAGAGTTAGTTTTTGTTAATTGATTGTTTGTGAATGTAATATTAATCTAAATAGCAAATAAAAATATATGAAAACATATTTTATTGTCATGTCCCTACCATGTCCGTATCCCCCCTTTTTAAAATTGTCGTGTCCCATGTCTACATCTATGTCCATGCTTCTTAGCTGATGAGGTTCTTGAGCACCTTCTATCATGAATATTATCTTTGAAATCTTTGAGCTCCTTTGAGATGTAGTTGCATTATGTCAACTAAACCAGCACCTATGCCTAATTTATTTTTAATTACATGTCTTTCTTGTTAGTGAATAAAAATCTCCTCTTAATGTATAAAATTGGTGGTCACTTTTCTAAATTGGAGGAACTATGTTTGCACCATAGGTAAAGCCATAATGTAATGAAGTCAGCTTAAAATGAATTATATCCCACCTGGTAAAATATTTGAGGTATATTTTTATATAATATTTTTGTAATTGATGGGATATCATTGACTTCAGTTTGCAGTTTTACTCAACCTTTTCTCCTTTTTTGGTGTCTCTGTACTCTGTAATATGTAATATACATGTATACATATGTGCTGATCTAGTTATTGTGAAACTGCAGTTATGGGGGTTATAAAAGACGGGACTGTTTCCGGAAAATTACCAAGTACTGAGTCTTTTGCAGTTCACTACCCTAGTTATCCTTCATCAACCGCACGTGCTGTTGAGACTCTTGGAGGAAACAATGGAATCCTCAAGGTATGTGCGTCTAGTAAAGTGTTGTTCCATGTCATATATGAATCAATGACAATACAAGGAGTAACTTGGATGATGTGTCATGTAATGCCTTCATATTAGCTAAAATATTTGGCTGTATCCTATTATTGCAATATCCTCAGTGGTCTGGGGATTTAAATAAATGCAATATAGATATACATGTTAAATGTACCTATAATGGGTTCAAGTATTAGAAATAGAGCTTCCAAAAAATGGTTAATATTTGGTATTCAGATAAAGCTCAACCCAAGACGTGGTTGTGGAGGTTTTCTTGCAAAAGGGAGAGGTATTGGAGTGGTGGAATGCAAATATGGGAGGGCTTGGGGGGCTTGAACTTTGAAGGAGGTTTCTATATCTCATGTCATGGTGTAAAAAGGTGGAAAGGAATTTGCAGTGGGTGGGACTCCTTTTGCAACCAAATTCAGTTTGTAGTGGGGAATGGAGAAAATGTAAGATCCAAGAGTCATAGATGGTGTAAATTATAAAGTTTTTAGGCTACCCATGTATAAAAAAGATATGAGTGAGAGAGCGAGGCTGAGAGTATTTGGCGGGGGAGCTTCTGAGTTGCGAATTGAACAGAAGCTTATCACCATTCAGGTGGATGTTGGATCCAGAGGAGGTTTAGTGGAGATCATTGAGAGGAATCGATTCAGGAGTTACAATATGAAGATAGATTTGGGGGGTGTTTCTTGGGCCATAAAAGCTTTGCGTCAGGTTTGGGACCAGCATAGTGATCGATCTTTTTTCTCCAAGTACACCAGTAGCTCAGCAGTTTTTTGGGTTCAGAAATTCAGTAACAAGGGAGGTGTCTTTGTTGAGATGTCAAAATGGGAGGCTGGGGTGAAACGAAATAACATCATCATTCCAGCAGGGGTTGATGGTCAGGGGTGGCAGGCAATGGCCAAGATGCTTGAACGAGTCATCCATGGAGGCACCAGGGTTTCAAATGTTGAAAGGGAGGTAAGGACTACAGACAAGGGGGGCCATAATAGAAATAATCAATCTGTATTCAGTACTCGCAGGGGAAATTCAGAGGGGAATAGGTTTATTTCCTAGAAAACAGGGGCAAATAGAGGAGCCTCATATGCTGATGTGCTTAAGTCTAGATCAAGTAGTTCGAATGGCAATAATTTCTTTTTGGAGATGCACAAGGTGGTCGTGTGCACCAGAACTGATTTCTTCGATGGGTGGGCTCAGATTGAGAAGGAATTAAATCAATCGTTTAAAACTTCAATTGTTCTGAGGCCTTTTCAATTAAATAAGGCTCTGTTTTTTGCAAAAAGTTCTGAGGAGGCTGATTACTATGGTGCTCAAGGAGTATGTTTCTTTCATAAAAGCATTGCTGTGAGACTGGATAGCTGGTCGGAGGAGGTGTTCAGTAAGGACGCTGTCATCTCTTCAAACGGAGGCTGGATCTCTGTCTGCGACTTGCCTTTTAACCTCTGGAAGGACAGGGTTTTTGAATGGATTGGGTCAAAGTGTGGTGGGTTGATTGAGGTGGATCGTAGAACCAGATATTTCGGAAATCTCTTCGAGGCTAGACTGAAGGTTAGAGGGTATGGCAATGGGTTCTTACCTGCAAAAATTCATGTTCAGTTCGATGAGATCTCTGTGGTAGTGCGCTTGAAGGCTCTGTCAAAGCCTGTCGGAAGACGGGAGGTTCATTGGCCATGGAGATTTTCAGGCGACTTCAATGCCGGAGAAGAGGAAGGCGAGGAGCCTCAGGGGACAAGCTCGACACGTGGCACGATGGAGATGAGAAGACAGATGGGTGACACGCTCGAGGGGGGTGCAGGTAATGGAGGAAACGCAAGGGTCGAAAGGGGAAGTCAGTCTCGAGATTTTAATTTTAATGGGCTTGGTTTTAATTTTAATGGGCCTGGTAATAAGGTGGACTCAACCCACGAATTGTTAGTCTCAAGCAATAACTGTGATGGTGGGCCGGTGTTCTCAAGCCCACATGCTCGCCAAATTCATAAGGATAGGGGTCCAGTTCTTAATGGGAATTCAACAGCTGAGATGCCTATTGAAAGGGGCCCAAATGTTTTTAAAGGCCCAAAGGTTTCTTTTTCCAATCCAACTGAGGTTTCGGGGCTAGAGTTCAAACGGGTTACAGCTTATGATGGAGAAGAGGGTCTTCGACGATGCTCAGCGATAAAGGAGCCAAGTCGATTCCCACCTTGCGAAGTCTTAGAACCAGGCGATCTTGCTATACAAATTTTGTCACCCATTCGTAGAGATATGTATACAGAGGAGATCCATTTTGGGTTGGCAGATGTGGTCGACAGATCTGTGCGGGATTTACAGGGCTTAAATGGGAGGTCAGAAGATGGGATTGAGGATTTGATGGAGGTGATAAGGACCTCGGAAAAGCAGATTAATGAGGTGGATGAGGGCCATTTTGAGATACACGAGGTATTGCAAAATCTGGAGGAGTATGGATCATCTGTAAGTTCGGAATCAAAGTCTGAAGTGGAAATTAGTGAGGATGAGCAAGTAGATAGTGACTGGGATCTCAACCGTTTTTTTAATGTAGATTGTACCACTGTGGATGAGGATATTGGTAAGGCTTCTGAAGCTCTGAATCGGGTCAGTTCTTCTGTTACCCAAGGTTTAACAGTTTCATCTTTTCATGAGGGGTTACAAGCTATTCCAGATTCTTCCTTTTCTGGGGATGGGATTAGGGATGGGTTGTCTTTGCCTCTTCTGTCCAATTCCTTTTGCCCTGTTCATGATGTCTCATTAGTTGACACTGCTGTACAAGGGGTTACTGCTGATATCCCGAGGGCCACGGTGAATGAGTCTATCTTAATGTCTGGGTCCTTACATGCGTCTATATCTCAAGGTCAGGTGAATGATAATCAGTGTCGAATTTTCAAAAATCATTTTGACAAGGGGGGCCAGGTTTTTAGTAGAGGGAAGGAAGAAACAGAGAGATGGCTGAAAGAGTTGAGCAAGTATGAGACCTGCCCAATTGAGGAAAATGAGATTCCTCATTTTTTGCAATTACTGCAGGTCATGGGGTTGTCATTAGTTAAAATTAAGGACATGTCTGGGTCGGTTAGAGTGAGTAACAGGTCCACGGGGGGGTCAGATGTTAGAAAGGAAGGTGATAGCAGTAAAAAAGGGGTAAGGGAATTAAGGAATTTAGCAAGTTCAGTTAATTATGAGAGGAGAAGTGGGGCTGTTAGGGGAGATAAGGTTTCCTTATGAAGATTATTAGTTGGAATGTGAGGGGGTTGGGTTCTCGGAAAAAGAGGGGTGTTATCAAGGATCTTCTTAGAAATCATCAACCGGACATTGTTGTTTTGCAGGAGTCTAAAGTAGAAGAATGCGAGAGGAGGTTTATGCAAAGCCTTTGGGGGGTTAGACATAGGAGATGGGTGTGTTTGCCTGCAATTGGTAGATCAGGGAGAGTTTTGATATTGTGGGATGAGAGAATTGTTTCTGAGTGTGAAACAATAGTGGGGGAGTTTTCGCTATCAGTTAGGTTTAGGAACTTAGACAATTCAGAGTGGTGGTTGACAGGGGTTTATGGTCCTAAGAGGCCTTCTAGGAGAAAGGATTTTTGGGAGGAGCTAGCTGGATTATTTGGGTTGTATTCACCAAATTGTTGTGTAGGGGGGATTTTAACGTGGTTAGGATGGTCTCAGAAAAACTTAATGGGATTAGAACGACTAGGAGAATGAGAGACTTTGACTCGTTTATACGAGAGTGTGAGCTGGTGGATCCTCCTTTGTGTAATACCAGATTTACTTGGTCTAATCTTCAAGAGAATTTGGTGTGTTGCAGACTGGATAGATTTTTATATTCTTTGGGGTGGGATGGGGTTTTTCCCAATTTAAGACAAGAATCGCTACCTAGAGTAGTTTCAGATCATTGTCCTATTGTGCTCGAAAGTTGTCCATTAAAATGGGGACCGATGCCTTTTAGATTTGAGAACATGTGGTTGGAGCATGCATGTTTTAAGCGAAATTTTGAGGAATGGTGGTCCAATGCTAGTTGTCACGGATGGAAAGGTTTTAAATTTATGAGAAAGTTGAAGATGGTCAAGGAGAAGATGAAGTGTTGGAATAGGGAGGTGTTTGGGATTTTGGAATCTTCAAAAAAGGAGGTGATGAGTAGAATAGTAGAGTTAGATGACTTGGAGGTGCATAGGGGTTTAGTTGAGTCATTGAGGAGGGAAAGATCCGAGTTTAGATTAAACTGGAGGAGCTGACTTTTAGGGAGCAAATTTTTTGGGCTCAAAAAGCAAAGATCAAATGGTTGAAGGAAGGGGATGTTAGTTCAAAAAATTTTCACAAGGTTGCAGACGGGAAAAGGAAAAAGAAGTTCATCAAGAGATTGGAAGTAAGCCCCGGGGTTGTGGAGGACAGGGAGAATCAGATTGTCAGTGGCATTTATGATTTTTATTCCCAACTTTATTCGAAGGAAGAGATGAGTAGACCAGGGATTGAAGGACTAGAATGGGGAACCATTGATCCGGAAGTTGCAACATGGCTTGAAAGGCCTTTTGATGAAACAGAAATTCGAGAGGCAGTTTTTGATTGTGAGAGAGATAAAGCTCCAGGTCCGGATGGTTTTTCTATGGCTGTCTTTCAAGATTGGTGGGAGGTGGTGAAAGGGGATTTGTTGAGAGTGTTTTTGGAATTTTATGAGTCGGGGATTGATAATTTGAGTTCAAATGCCACATTCATCTGTTTAATTCCTAAGAAAGTGAATGTTGTTAGAATTGGAGATTTTAGGCCTATCAGTTTGGTAACGTCATTGTATAAGATTTTGGGGAAGGTTTTATCAAAAAGACTAAGGGTGACTTTAGGGGATACGGTGTCTAGGGCGCAAGGGGCTTTTGTGAAAGGAAGACAAATTTTAGATGTTGCCCTAGTGGTAAATGAAGTAGTGGAGGAATATAGGAGTTCAGGGAGGGAGGGACTTATTTTTAAGGTTGATTTTGAAAAGGCATATGACAATGTGGATTGGCAATTTTTAGAATTTGTAATGGATAAGAAAGGATACGGTGGGCGGTGGAGATCTTGGATTAGGTGCTGTTTGTCGACTTGCAATATGTCAGTCATAGTCAATGGTAAACCAGGGGAGTGCTTTAGGGCTTTGCGAGGGCTTCGATAAGGGGACCCACTCTCTCTCTTTCTTTTTATTTTGGTGGCTGATGTTTTGGGCAGGATGGTCGATAGAGCTAAAGAAACTGGTCTTGTTGAGGGGTTGGAGGTGGGGAGGGATAGAGTTAGTGTTACCCATTTATAATATGCGGATGATACTATATTTTTTTCCACGGGGGATAAAAATCAGATAGTTAATCTTTATTCAATCTTGAGAATTTTTGGGCTTCTTTCGGGGCTTAAGGTTAATTTTGGAAAAAGTAGCGTGGTGGGAATTAATATGCAGCAAGATCAAATTCAGAACAGGGCGTCTCTTTTAGGTTGTGGTATAGAGTCACTTCCGACTAAGTATTTGGGGCTCCCATTGTGTGGTAATCCTAGGAGTGAAGTTTTTTGGACTCCAGTGATGGAAAAGATTGGCAAGAGATTGAATGGTTGGAGTAAGGCTTTATTATCTCGAGGGGGTAGATACACTTTGGTTAAGACTGTTTTGAGTGGTATTCCGGTTAAGGTGGCAAGGTCAATAGAAAAGTTGATGCGGGATTTTCTTTGGGAAGGTAAGGATGAGGGGAAAAAGGATCATTTGGTGAATTTGGAGGTGGTGTCGTTACCTAAGGAGAATGGGGGTTTGGCTATTGGTAACATTGTGGCTCGGAACTTGGCCCTTCTTGGCAAGTGGTTATGGAGATTTCCACTTGAGACTGATTCACTATGGCATTCGGTTATAAGAAGCAAATATGGGATTCAAGACAATGGTAGGGATTCACGAGTGGTTTTAAGGGGTAGCTGCCGTGCCCCTTGGAAGTCAATTTCTCAAATTTTCACGTGTTGGTCTCGACATCTTTCTGTAAGGGTGGGCAATGGGGAATTTGTTCGGTTTTGGGAGGATGTTTGGATGGGTCAATCTTCTTTTGCTGCGGATTTCCAGCATCTTTATCGAGTGGCTCGTTCTCATAACTCTTCAATTGCTTCCATGGCTTGCTCTCTCTTAGCTCCAATTGCTTGGAATTTTGATTTTTCTAGAAATCTTAATGATAGGGAGGCTTCACAGTTGGTTTCTTTATTATCTAGAATTGATCACTTTTCTTTATCTCCTCTTTTGGAGGACAAGAGGGTTTGGGCACTTCATTCGTCCGGAATATTTTCTTGTAAGTCTTTTTTTGATTACATCATCGATAATCCTCAAATTCCTCAATTTCCTTTTTGCAAAAAAGTTTGGGAGGCTTGTGCTCCCTTAAAGGTAAAGGTGTTCGTGTGGGCCTTGGTTCATGAAGGAATTTTGACAAATGATACATTGCAGAAAAGGAGACCCAATCGTTTTTTAAATCCTCAGTGGTGCATTCTGTGTTGTAAGAGTGGGGAATCCGTGGATCTTTTATTCTTACATTGTCCAATAGCTTTGAATTTATGGCATAGATTGTTTAGTGTTGGAAATGTTATGTGGGTGACCCCAAAAAGGAGTGCGCATATGCTCTTAGTGGATTTTCGCACATTTGGAGGATCGAAGAGAGCCAAAATTCTATGGACTTGTGCCGTCTTTGCAATTTTTTGGGTGCTATGGTGGGGAGCGAAATCAAAGGTTGTTTGAAGATAAGTTCCGGGAGGTGGGCTGTTTATGGGATCATGTTTGTCACTTATCTTCTTTTTGGGCGTCGGGAAACTCTTTATTTAAAGGAGTCCCACTCTTTTTGTTAGCTAGAGATTGGTTGGCGGTGTGTGCTTTGTAAGCTTTTGCTTGTTTTTAGTTGATTAGGGGTTTTTTCTGTTTGTATTTTCTGTCTTGTGTTTAGAGGATGCCTCATCCTCTCTTCCTTTTTTAGTTTTATCAATAAAGCTTTTGTTGTTGATCAAAAAAAAAAGAGTCATAGATGGTGTAGTGATGTTTAGTTGGAGATCTCTTACCCTGGTATTACCCTTGTGGTGCTTAATAGGGAAGCAGCTGTGAGTGATTATCTGAAGGTGGAGGAGGGTCATTTTTTTGGGATATTGGGTTGCGGAGGGAGCTTAATGATGGGGAGTTGGAGGAATTGACGAAATCATTGATATATGTGGGCATTTATATGCCTCGTGCATTGATGATGGGGGAGATTCAATCCGTTGGATGAGATCCAACTCTGACTGTTTTTCTGTGTAGTCTTTTTATGATGTTTTTATGGGTCACAAGAGTTGTCTTTTTCTATGAAAAGGAGTTTTGAGGTACTAAAGCCCACCTGAGGTGGCATTTTTTGTTTGGTGCATGGTGCATGGTGCATGGTATGATTCTGACCATAAATAATTTGAAAAGAAAAAGACAAATGGATGTTAATTGGTGTTGCATGCGTGTAGAAATTTAATGTATAAAGAGAAATGATTGTATTATTGATTGTTATCTGTTTGTATACAATGACTCTCCTATATATAGAAGAGAAAAACATATTTACCAACCACACTCAACTCTCACCTAACACACTTACATCTACCTACCACACTCAACTCTCACCTAACACACTCAACTCTACCTACCACACTTACAATGCGCAAGCACGATGAAGAGTCGGTGGGTCATCTTCTTATCCATTATGAAGTTGCTCGGGTGCTATGGGCTTTGCTCCTCATTATGATTGGTATGGAATGGGTATTCCCTCAGAGGGTGGGGGAGGTTGTCGTGGAGGGGAGCTCGTGTGGGTAAAAGGAGGAGGAAGGTGTGGTGTTTGGGCCCTTTGGTAATTTTGTAGTTAGTGTGGGCGGAGAGGAATATGAGGACTTTTGATGGGAAGGAAGAGCTAATTTCGAAGTTAAAGAATTCATTGTTGTCTTGTCTTGTTAGTGTAGTTGGTTTTGGGGAAAGATCAATCCTTGAATCAATATTTAGAAAATTTTGAATGCTTCTAATGTATAGTTGAGATACGTTTTCCTTTGTACGAGGGCTGCATCCCGTGGTGCCTAAAAAACAAGTGCATACCATATTTGCTGGTAGCAAATGCATTTCCTATAACAGAACGTTTTTGGGTTTCTTATTTTGACTTAACGATTATTGTTCTATGCTAAATCGCTACTGTGATGTCATGCACTTGTTACTTAATGTTGCATACATGCAGATCTAAAAATTTCCATCATACTGAAAAGTATTCTACTATAAATATGCTAATAAATGCTTGGCATTATTTTCAGGCTCGTAGCTTGCAGTCAAACAAGTTGGAGCTTCATTTTCGCCCCGAGGATCCGTACTCACACCCTGCTTTTGGGGAGCTTCAACCCTGTAACAATTTTCTTTTGAAGATAACAAAAAGGGCTGTTAGGAATGGCCAAGATGCTGAGAACACTGACAGGGTATCAACATGTTTGTCAGAAGATGAAATTCATCTGAATCAAAAGAGTTGTCCTGAATCAGTCAAAAATGATCAACACGTGGATGAATGTCAAATTGATTCGATTACTGCACCAACAGAATTCAAAGCTCAGTTGCCAGAAGAAGTGCAAGAAGATCTTTCTGCTGATATTGTTGCTCGAGTCTCAGAGGCTTATTATTTTAATGGTTAGAAAGTACTTGGTGTTATTTTGCAGTCTAGTTTCTTACTTTTTTTCCTTTCCATTTGTCCTCACCATGTTCTTACTTTTTTCTTGTTGTTTCGTTTTTTTTTTGGTTTCATTTCTTCACGTGCTTTTTTATTAAAACAGGAATGGTAGATTACCAGCATATTGTTGCTGTTCATGCGGATGTTGCTCAGAGAAAGAAGAGAAACTGGGCAGATATGGAACCACAATTTGGTTAGCCCTCAACATTCATGGTTTATACAATTTGGAAATGAAAATTAACTGCTTATACTTAGTTTATCCAAATTTATTTTCTTATGCATGCTACACTGTAGAGAAGTGTGGTCTTATGGATGTGGATCAGGAGGATTTGATGATTCTAGTGCCTCCGCTCTTCTCAATAAAGGACGTGCCAGAGAAAGTAGTGTAAGATGCTTCAGTTTGTTTTGTATTCTTCTGTTGGACACTTGGTTATCTAAATATAAAGTCCTTAAATTTAATTGAAAGATGGTTAATATTAGAAGTTGACCCTTTTCAGCACGGAATCATGCCCATTGTTTTGAATTTCAAAATATGTGATCACTTGGGAATTTCATACTTGAAATCATGGATCAAATACTACCATCCTTTGAATTTGATTTGATCGAATTTGATTTGATCTACATTGATTGTCTTTCAGGTTAAAACCAACAGTAAGTCTTAGCTCAAAGAAAAAACAAAGGGGAGTTGTACAACACCGTTGGGAGGTATTTTTTTTTCCTGCTGCCAAGTAAAGAATTATTTTAGTTGTGCAGAAACCTTAGATCTTGGCTCTATTAATGTAGAACTTAAGTGCTACAGATACTGCTCTTTTATTCATATATTCATCCTGTGGGCTAAGATATATCTGAAAGTTGTTTTACTGCAACAACATGCACCACCTAACCTAGTGCAGTTATTTATTTTAATCTCCATATCTCTGACAAGCTGATTGGTGCATAAACATTTGTGTTGGTTGTGGAAAAGTTGCCTTTCTTCATATTTTCAGAGCTTCTCCAATGGTGAGCTATATGGCTTGCTATATTTTGCCTTGAAGCTACAAAATTTCTACCCCATTGGTAAGGAATATGACTTGCTATATATGACCCATAGCTAAACCTTGTGCCAAATATAGCTTTAGGTTTAACTATAGGCAAAATGTGTGTCTACATCTTTCCTCTTGGGACCCATATATAACATTTTAATTTGACATTTTGTGAGAAAAAAATTGAAAGATTTGACATTGCACCATTGAAGCAACATAAAGCAAAGCATTTTAACACTATTGATTGCTTAAATTATAGCAACAACTAGCTATTTACCTATCCAACCGCAGGAGATGCTCTAAACATTTAATATCATTTTCATCTGGCATTGTAAATTTTTATGCATTCCATTTTGTATAGCTGAGAAAACCAAGAAGAATTTTCACCAAGCTGGAAGAGTCTCCATCTTTGTTCCTTGTCTGATTTCTTGCTATGAATCATGGCTCTGCTAATACTTTATTTTATTTCATTTTTTTTGCTTTTGACAAAACTGCTTCATTTAAGTGCATATGATCTTGTTTGATGAAATATTCAAAATTTTGGTTGACCTTATATCTATGTTCTCTCTTTTTCAGATGCTTTAGAGTAATGTAGCGCAGCCAAATATTCACGTCTTTCTTGAAATCTTAACATAGATTTGTTGTTAAGGAATTGACATATTTGTTATTTTGTCTGGTGCAGATGGATATAGAGCCAAGCCTTGCAATTGATTTTAACATAAAGGATATCCTAATTGCTTACTTGATGATTTACTTATATCTGTGTCAGATAGTAGGACCTTTTAAATTTCCATTTTTTCTTCGGATGTTTTTATTTTTTTATTTTGTCCCTCTGCAGTCCACATTACTATGGTTTCACATTTGCATGGTAAACTACTAACCATTTCGTAACATCATGCTTATATGAAGTTGACATGAATTGAATGAAAATCACATTAAAGATGCCTTGTAAAAAAAATCAAAGGCCATACAAGCACAGTATTTATAGGAAAATGCCTTTGTTTAAATGATCTTTATTCTAGAGGGGATTATAGGCACTGAAATATCTAGTCACAACCACTGAAGCAGCATAAAATATGTAGAAACTAGCTAATCAGATTGATGTAATTGCTATACTAGTCTTCTTGGGCGCCAAGGTTTTACAAACTAGCTCCTTGTGATGCCTCTAAAGACCTCGACTAGCTCAAATCTTTTCTTTCAGTGTTGTGCCTAGCTTTATTTGGACTGCTTTAGGGATAGTGAAAATGATTGATGATAATCTCCTCAACAACTAAGTGTGGCCTTGGGCCAAAACATTAATTTCCAAATTGATTCTTTAGATTTTCAGACATTTTTTTGGGATTGTATAGGAAAAAATCTGGTGTCCTGTGGAAGATCGCAAGTTGAATCACATGCCTTCCTCGATGCCTACAAGAAAGAACACCATTAGTAGTACCCGGCTGGAGGCACTTTGATGCCTAAGTTACAGACGTTCACTAGAAAGAGGGTAAAGCACAAAGAGAGTGTGTGTGTGTGTGAGAGAGAGAGAGAGAGAGATTGGACTCTGTCCCTACATCCTCCTTTTATATTACTCTATTCCTTCTCCACAAAAGATTGGACTCTCACAGGCCTAATCCTAGTAGGACTATAATTTTTCTCTGGATGGATTGACTCCAATCCATCTTGTGACTTATCTTTTTATCCCTCCATGTGTGCATGCTTATTATCAGACTTCATCATGCCTTTGATTGTTGACTTGCCACCTCATCTGGTTGGGGCGCAACAAGATTTTTCCTCCTCCAGGGGTGATAAAGTGATTTCATTCAATTGAAAACTTGTTCCTTTGTTGCTGCTTTTGGTTAAGTATATGACCATTCATAATGGTGCAACTTTTGATGACACTGAGTGGGAAATTAAAAAAATCCTATTGTCACATTCGAATGTTTCTCCTATGGACGTGAGTCTATTGTATTATTATTATTAATTTTATTTTTTTATTTTGGATAATTTGGACATGAGAATTTGCAAATGTAAGCATTTTATAAATATATGTTTATTTGTTTTAGAAGTGGATGCTTATTTGGAAAAAGAATATGTCGTTGAGGTAAATATGCCCATTTGCATCCATTTAAGTAGATATTGTCAATCTCATAGGCCAGGCATTGCACATAGTTATTTGCAACTCACTCAATAGATACATTTAGGCTTTCTATCACTTATCATGAAAGAGATTCAATCCTTTTTACAACTTTATTTTTTTCACTCTTTTCCAATATTCCAGCATTGTCTTTTGCAAAAACAGATTTCTAGTATATTGGCTAATTTATAATTTGTGTAACCAGATTTATGGGCTTAGTTTCATCACTCAATTTCTAGAGGCATGGTGTGGGAAGTAATCTTCACTATATGAAGGTGCAACTTTGCCATAGCCTTGTAGTGATTAATAAAATGAATGTTGGGTTGATATATTGTCTTGTATGTGTGATTAAATGGAAAATAATTATGAGATCCAGACATATATGCTAGATATTTTTTTCTTTTAGTTTTTGTTGCCTTAATGCATTCATACAGATTCCTAAGAAAGTGTATTGGGAGAAATACATACCCAAAGACTCCGAACAATGGGATTGGCAGATGGCTTTATGTAAGTTGTTTGATGAGCGTCCTATATGGATAAAAAGTTCAGTAGCTGAACGGTTGCTTGACAAAGGTCTACAATTTGCAGACCATTTGCTCAGAAGGTGGGTTCCCCTAAAATTTGGCCTTTGTATCAGCTGAAAGAATTTTGTGTTGATTGTGTTTGAATGAACTGAATATTTTCTGGTAATTAGACATGTATGATATTCTGCAGTGGCCATGTATTTGTTTGATCATGCAGGCTTCTTTTTAGAACGGCATATTACTTCTCAAATGGGCCATTCCTTAGGTTCTGGATCAAGAAGGGTTATGATCCTCGCAAAGATCCTGAATCTCGCATGTAAGAACTACTTAAAATGACATTTCTCTTATTCAATGTATTTGTACATCTATTGTAGCTTTCTTTGGCATATTATTTTAATCAATTCTACTAGTCTTGATTATCTTGAAGCTTGGACCAAGTATACTTTTCACTACTAGTAAAGGTTGGTTAAGCTTATATGATGTTACCAACTTGCATGAGCTTACTGTCGAAAATAATTTAATAAGGCAGTCTGTTCAAACATCTGAAAAGCTAAACAACTTGCAAAAGGAGAAATTTAATGAACGACTTCATATCATATATGAATAGTATAAATCTTTTATGTTTTATTTTTTCTATTATGGTACTTATAATGAGTATGCTATACTAAAATTCTTTGAACTCTGGATTGTTTTGATGCTTACTTTCCAATATTTCTTTATCAGATATCAAAGAATTGATTTTCGAGTCCCCCCATCATTACGAAGCTATTGTGATGCTAACATGGCAGCTGGGTAAGTTATTTCTTGAATTTTTTTGCCTTTGCTTAGTCAAGTTTATTTTTATGTGATATTTGCTCTCGTGCCCCATTTTGACTGTCTATGACAGGCTAATTTGTTCATACTAAACACTTGATTGTTTAGGATATGGAGCAATTTAAACAAGGAATGTGTTGATGCCTATTATTACATCAGCCAATAAAACTGAGAGCCTAGAAACTTATTTTTAAGAATATTGGTGGGAACCTGTATTTGCTATGAAATTTGAACTATATTGATCTTATCCTCATCCAGTCAATCATTAGTTTTTATCTATGATTTACCTTTTTTCGAGCACTAAAACGTTTTTTGCCATGTCTAACCAAGGAAAAATCATAATCATAGCATTTCATTAATTATCCTCTTACTAATGTGAATCCATTTTCTTATTGACCTTTTTGTCATTAAGTTTTTTATGGGGCCTCATGATTGGACTGCTTAATGATTCTGCTTTCTGTTTACAATTTGTAGCAACTCATGCCATTTCCAGCCATATATATATATATATATAGTAATTTACTTTTGTTTCTATAGGTTAAAGCATAGATGGGAAGATATATGCTCATTTCGTGTTTTTCCTTACAAGTGCCAAACTTCATTACAATTTTTTGAACTTGCTGACGATCACATTCAACAGGAGATTAGGAAACCTCCACAGCAAGCAACTTGCACAGTAAGTTACTATTTTAATAATAATGGATGTGTAATAATATTCGAATTCTTGTATTTCCTTGTCCCTGCTACACCTGATGGTGAAGAGAGATCATATTCTAGCGTTAAAAGTACAGAGATCTTTCTTAAGTTAGGAAATGTTCATATCCACACTAATCCTTGACTTTTAATGCTAGGTAGTACAAAGCTCCATGGTCTTTAATATTATGTTATGGCTTATCACGAAAACTTTCTTTTGTTTTTTCCTAGATCATCCATATGGAAATTTGTGTTCTCTCTCTCTTTTAACATTTAGAGCACCATATGAATCCTCTCTCTTCCATCCCACTGAAACCATTATGCATCCATATCCTTAAAATCATTATTAATCTTGTCATGGTGACAACAATCTGTTGTTACATAATTTTCAATCTTATTTTTGCAGATTGGTTTCTGGATACTTTCCGCTATAATCATTGAATCTAGCTAATAGTACATGTAAAATATTTTAGTAATAAAAAAAAGATAAAATGTGACTAAATAGTTTCCGAACAGTTAGTACTTTCTAGCTATTTTTGTAAGGAGTTGTTGCTTACCAAGTATAGGAAAAGAGAGGATCAGCATGAAAGCATTGAAAAAAAATGTGTTGTAAATATTAACAAAATTGTGTTACAATTAAATGTTATTGTGAGAATACTGACAGCTTTTGATTAATCATTTATCAATCTCTCCATTTAAATGCTTGCATATTTTTTCCTTTTCTTTTGGAGTAGGCGAATGGGATTAGATAATTCTTATTCCTGGGAAGTAAGCAAGGATGCAACCTGTCCACTACCTCTCCCTACTCTTGTGACAACACCTAATATGAATTCGTAGTCTATGTGCGAGTCTTTGGGATGGGACCTTAGTTGCACAAAGCAGGGGCAGGGGAGCAGTGGGCATATAGAAGTTTCTAAAGTGGGAAGTGTCTATGGGAGCTGTAAGAAATAATGTATAGAGAAAGAGAGAGAATAAATTGTATGTATTATGCGAATGGGATTAGATAATTCTTATTCCTGGGAAGTAAGCAAGGATGCAACCTGTCCACTACCTCTCCCTACTCTTGTGACAACACCTAATATGAATTCGTAGTCTATGTGCGAGTCTTTGGGATGGGACCGTAGTTGCACAAAGCAGGGGCAGGGGAGCAGAGGGCATATAGAAGTTTCTAAAGTGGGAAGTGTCTATGGGAGCGTATGTATATTTTATATATTAAAACATTATATATTCTTAACAATTATTTCTTGTATTTAGTTGTAATGCGTGTTGACGTCAACTACAAATTGTTTTTGTTACAAATAAATATTATGTAAATAGAAAGTACCTAGATAAGTTTGAGATATTTTCTTTTGTTTATTTGAGATTTGTATATTTGAGAGGTTCTATCTCAGTTGAGAGGGAGTTTCTTCCTCAAGGAGAGCCAGTTTCTTACTTGGGAGCGTGGAATCGAGAGGTGGTAGTGTTGTAGTGGGTTAGGTTTAGTGGAGTAGGTTTAAGTGGGTGAAGTAGGTGGAGAGTAGGTGGATTTTAACAGGAGCGTATGTATATTTTATATATTAAAACATTATATATTCTTAACAATTATTTCTTGTATTTAGTTGTAATGCGTGTTTAGAGATTGAGGTCAACTACAAATTGTTTTTGTTACAAATAAATATTATGTAAATAGAAAGTACCTAGATAAGTTTGAGATATTTTCTTTTGTTTCTTTGAGATTTGTATATTTGAGAGGTTCTATCTCAGTTGAGAGGGAGTTTCTTCCTCAAGGAGAGCCAGTTTCTTACTTGGGAGCGTGGAATCGAGTCAAGGAGTAAGAACTATCACCCAGGTAGGAGTTTTCTGCTGATAAGGGTGGGAATGGCTTAACAGACTTCAATAGGCTTTTATTGGAGCATTGCTGAAATATTTGTAGAGTTCTTCATGAGGTGTTACAATCGCAATCACGTCATTTTCGTGATGATTTATTGTTTGTCTGCAATTTGCATTAGGTTTTATACCCGCACATGCATGCTATGTTCCCAATACTGTAACACCTTCCATGTTTAAGTTCTGATTTTTATTTTTATATTTGTTATTTTTTTGCAGTGTGCGACTGGATGGTTCTCATCAAGCGTGCTTGGTAGCTTGAGATTTTGTGTTGCTGTGAGGTTCCTTTCAGTATACCCAATGGCTGGTGCAGAAGCCTTGCTTAAATCTGCTTCTGAACGGTTTGAAAAGTCAAAGAGAATGCAGATTTATACTAAGGAATTGAGACTTGAAGAAGAGATTCAACAAGTCAATGCAGGTTTAAACTAACAACAATGCTTATAGTGTTTTGCCGAAAAATTCTTTGTTGTGCTAAGTTTTGTAATGGATATTGCATTGTTGGCCCATTCTTAGTTCTTATTATAAATACTGCAACTGTTTTGAATAGCTTCGTGTTATTATTTGTGAAATTTTAAGTATCACTTCAGACAAATACTAATGCAAGGAACCGTGTAGGAACCAATAATAGTGCAACAGGAATAATCACAAACAATTACAATGAAGAGAAACTCTATATTTTCTCCAATTTTATTAATAATAATAATTATAAATAAATAAAAAATTAAAAAAACACACACCATAGCCTTAAGGCTTTTAACCTTTTTTATGATAATAGAAACCCTAATCCTAACAACCGTGTGAAATACTAAAAAAAAGGATATAAAATAATTCTAATTCTTTAAGGCTAAGTAATCTTCTTGTAGAACAAATAACCAACAAAAAAAGAAACCTAATAATTCTAGGTCATTTTTTTACTAAACCAAAATATTCCTAATCAACTATTAGTTCTCAAATAATAAAAATAAAAATACAGAATTATTAAAATTTTGTCGTCATCATAATATACTTTGTGTTATTTAGAGTAAATCTAAGTGCACTTAATATTTTTACAGAATGGGACACAAATGTGAGATAGAGTGGGTCCCACATATGGTGGATCCCATTTGTTGTCTGTAAAAATCTTCTATGTTAATAGCACAGCTGATTTTTAATTAACCTCGTACTTTTTTTGTGTGTAATACACATTACCTCTCCTTTTTTGGGTGAATACACATTACCTCTCCTCTCCCTGCTTCAGATGCAATTTTGCCTTATCTTCAATTCTTTTGTTTTGAAGTAGTCCTTTATGTGGCATAATTTACTCTTTGAATGCTACATTCCTGGTGTTCACTCATTTCTTCTATAAGCTCTCTCTTTTTTTCTTCTTATTTTTGGCGTTGAATTCTCTCATATATCAATTGTCACGATAACTGCTGAAACTACTGAAGATTTTTCCCACTCAAGTAGTCATTTTTAGAGTATCCTTGATTGAATTTTATGGTGCAGAACTGGTAGATAGGGAAGATAAAGAAGAACTGAATGATGATGACGATGAAGATGAAGAAGAAGAAATTGATGATGACAATGTTGAAGAGGAGGTGGACCCATATGAGGTATTTCATCTGGTAAAATTATAGCCTGTTTTATTTTCTGCTGTCATTTTGATTCAACAAATATGCATTTGATTCCTTTTATCTTAAATGGTATATTGCGCATCCCTTTTTTCTTGGTTCGGTTTATTGTGCTTTTTACTAATTTTCCTCTCATTTTTCTTGATTATAGGCTTGTGAGGATGAAAATTTTGCTCCACAGCCATGTTCTTGTATCCTTGAAACAACAATTTTGTATTTCATGTTCTATTATGCCTTGTTATAAAACAAGAAATGAAAATTAAATCACAGGCTAGTTTGACTATTTTGTCCCAGAAAATTCAGTTATTTTCTCTAAATTTATTCTGAAACCTATTATTGTTTGATAATGCTGTATTATAGAGTCAACCTATTGTGCTACAATGCAAGAATAAAGTATTGCGCTTGAATTTGATCCTTGTATCCCCAAAAGCTCTATTCACCATGAATTTCCATTGCTCGACTGTAAGAAGGTTTTTCTTAAAAATTATATTAAAAAAAGAAAAAAGAAAAGATGAAGATGTGAAGAATTTTCTTCTTAATGTCTTTGTCCCACCTATCTTAACCATTAAAGGAATCTATTTGAGATACCTTGAAACGTTACGGTTACTTTAGATTTCCTATATGTTGCTCAGATATGGGTAATGAGAATATCTCCAAGAACTACTTGCAAGAGCTTTTTGGTAGTTTTCCATCCGGTGAAGTTGGCGGCGGCCACAGGTTGCAAGATGCCGACAACAGTGATGGAGAATATCAGATATATGAACAATATAGTGATGGCAACTACTCCAATGAAGACGACGACTACTGACTTGTTAATTGTGAATTAAAGCATATTTCATTTTCTTTGAAGGTATGTCCTCTATCTTTATGAATGACATAGATAGCAATGGCAACTACTATAATGGTGATGATTGCTGACAATGTCATCCGAACTCTGTACTTGATCCCGAAGAATAGGCAAAGTGTGTGACCAAGGTTTTGAAAAGCAGTTGTGGTCGCCGTAACGGTGGCGGTGGCACGGTTGCGGGGTGTAAAAGCCGTAACGTAACGGTTGTGATAACCGGAACCGTGAATTTTTTTATTTTGCACAATTTGAAAAAAACTTACAGATACGCATATTTTTTTTCCATGATCATATTTATTGGGTTTAAAATAAATATTGTTCAATTTTTGTAAATTTTTAAGTATGATCCAATCTATTTCATATTTTTAAATCATTATAGACTGAGTTTTTTACATTTTATTTTAATAATTAATGACTTTATATTATACAAAAAATCAATCACTAACTATTATATATAAGATAAACAATGACAAAAGTAAAAGAATAAATAAGAGTCTAAATATATATACATATACATATTTTAACCAAGCCAAATAGATGATGACCACACTTATTATTATTATTATTATTATTATTATTATTATTATTATTAAACAATATATAGATAGACACACACAAGTAAAATGGTTGAGTGATAGCAGCTGAATAGAAAAACATAAGTTTTATAACTTCAACAAATCAATAACATATTCTTCATCTTCTCTCTCTATCTCTTGCTCCTCCATCTTCTCTATTTATCTTTCCTCTTCTCTCTATCCCTCTTCCTCCATTTTCAGCTTTTTTTTTTTGTGTTTTTTTTCTAAAGAAGCAGTTCGAAACCATTACGTAACAGCGCATAACAGGCCGTTACGGCACCATTACGACCGCTACGGCAACCGCTACGGCCAACACACCTGTGAATCTCAATAACACTGCAAAAGCGACTGTAACAAGTGGCGGTAACCACTACAACTGTTACGTAACGGTTGCGGTCGCTTTTTAAAACCTTGTGTGTGACGGTATATTTTCTTTTAATATGCACTTACATTCATGCTTAGCTGGAATTCTTTTTCCACATTTTCCCAGATATATTTCTTTTCTTTCTGCACTTGTTTATGCTATCTATGGGCTTTTACTTATTGATTATTTTTTTAACCTACCCAAACATCAATCTTTTTCGGCTCTCAGTGATCTTCTACTCCAGAATTTGTTAATTTTGAGGTATGGTAAATTACAAAGCCTCATTTGGTGACGGTTTTGTTTCCTATATTTGTTTTCGTTCACTTTTTTGTTTTTTTGATAAATTACAAATACGCTCTCTGAACTTTGCTTAAAATATGAATTGCCCCTATAGTTTAGAAAATTACAAATACCTCACTGTTATAATTTTTTATTTAACAAAATTAATTGAAAAGGTAAAATTTCTAACTGTTTACTTGTATAATAATCAAATTATCTAAGTTATTAATTGAAATAAAATTTTAACGTTATTAAAAACTGTTAATTAACTTAATAATTTATTAATAAAAAGACCTATTTGTTATGAAATTAAAAACCTTGGGGGGCATAGTGTAATTTTTGGAATCATAAGAGGTCATTTGCAATTTAAATAAATGTGTTTGTAATTTAACTTCTTTTTTTTTTTGAAAAACTAAAAACAGAAACATTGCCAGTGACCTTTCAACGAGGTCTTACTTTCTCTGCCGACACTCTGACAAACCCCATGGGCAACCACCACGTCGGTCCAACCTCCACTGTTGGCCAAACTTGTGTCCAAACAAGTTTTTTTGTTTTTTTTAAACACAAAATATAAAACTGGCAATGTTATCAAACACCACCTAAAAAGTTTGTTGCATCTTGCAATCTTATATCATGCTCTCTCTCTCTCTCTCTCTCTCTCTCTCTCCCTCCCCTTTTTTTCTTCTTTTTGGGCCTCTTAATTGCAGATACAAAGGCTGATTTGAATTGACCTGGCAGTAGCTTTCCAGGGAAGAGGTAACCATCCATTTATGGTTGGTAGGATCAGTTACTTGTTTGAGCTTTTAATTCAGAGCATTGAATTATGATATATTTACGTGCCAATGTGTTTTTCAGATGAAAAGCCATACTGTGGAAAATCAAAGAGCTGCCCCTTGTATGTCGCTAGGAGTTTGTGATTCCTGGATTTAATTTGTGTAGGGATGTTTATTTATTTATTTATATTTATATGGTCATCCTAAAATTATTACGTATTTTCGTCGACAGAGAAAAAGCAATGCAGAGGGATACTTTTTATCATTTTTAAAAAGTGGTATTGAGGGACACTTTTCTAATTTTGACCTTATCAGATAGGAAATGAAAATGCACTTTTGCTTGTCTCACTTTTTTTATAGGGTATATATGTATGAGTCCGGATTGTCTATCGCGATTTCCTGCAGTGGTCCAAAATGATTTCGTTTTGAATTTTTTTTTTTATTTTTTATTCTTCTTCTTTAGCTTTTGAGCCTCTTTTTCTTCTCTCTCATCTCTCAAATGTTTGAGAGACCACAACCCAAAGACACAGAGAGACAAAGATGGATGGCGAGCGGCTGCGGCGAGCTTGAGCTAGATAAGATATTAAATACATCTCTCCAAACATAGCCCCTGTTTTTTCTCTCTCGCCAGCGAACTCCCATTGCTTCTCCGCCACCGTCGCAGCCCTCACTTTTTGCCCGGCCACCACCTCCGCCAACAACCTCGTTTGTTCATTTGCTGAAACATATTTGAACTAGAGTTTTGCAAATGGTTTTTTTTTTTGGAACACAAAGGGAGTGTTTGGGAAGTGGGTTTTTATGTAGGTTTTTTAATTGTAAGATATTATGGGATAAAAAAAATTTGGTGTTTGGAAAGATAGTTGAGTTTTTTTGTGGTTGGATGTGATGTTTGTGAGAAAAAAAGTGAAATGATTATGGGATTGGATGTCATATTTTATTTGGATTTATTTTTTTTGGTTTTGCAAAAACTGTCTTTTAGTGGAAAAAATCAAAAAAAAATCCAACCCCATATCTTGCCAAGTGGGTTTGATTCATAAAGTTGTTTTCAAATATTGTATCAAATATATATTCTTGCAAATATTGTATCAAATAGTTTTGCAAATGACTTCTTGTAAAATAAATCTTACATATGCATATATCTATAAATATTGATTGAGGCCTTCTTTTGTGTTTGAAGTGGTTTGATTTGTACTGATATGAGTTTGATTGGCTTAAGTTTGGTTCGGATCTGATCTTGAATTGCTCCAACAGTGTTTGTATATGCAATCTTGGTATTTCTTTCGAATGAAATTCAAATCTGGTTCAACATTATAATCCTAGTGTTTGTGTGTGTGATAGAGAGAGAGATATAGATAACAGAGGAAGAGGTGTAGATAATTTTGCAAATTTTGGTGATGGCGTTGAGTTGAATCCACCAATTGGAAGGAATAATGCTAGTCAAAATCAAAATCAGAATCATATAATGAGATGAAGCAAATAAGTAAACAAATTGATGCTTTGAAAGGAGTGGTGCAGTGATTGTATTCTCTCGCCAACTATTTTCGTCTCTCTGTGTGTTTGGGTTGTGGTCTCTCATACATGCAAATAAGTAAACAAATTGATGCTTTGAAAGGAGTGGTGCAGTGATTGTATTCTCTCGCCAACTATTTTCGTCTCTCTGTGTGTTTGGGTTGTGGTCTCTCATACATTTGAGAGAAGAAAAAGAGCCTCAAAAGTAAAAGAAGAAAAGAAGAAAGACAAAAAAGAGTCAAAAAGGACTCAAAAGACAAAAGAAGAAAATATATATATATATATATATATAAAGTCCAAAACGACGTCGTTTTGGACCGCCGCAGGAGCCATCGCAGGAAACTGGTGCAAACGATCCAAACTCATATATGTATATGCTATGTATGGGGCAACAACTCGTCGAGTCTTGTAGGGGTCTTTAAGTAACTTACCGGTAATTGATTTTGAAATGTTCAATTTTTGTTTGATAGTTGATATTTGAATGAATAAAATAGTGTGAATTGATATATAAATTAAAAAAATTGGTGTGCAAATAAAAGCTCCTGAATTTCCAAGGCATATATTTGGATAAGGAAAACACATCTGCTTCTATTTTGGGTGTTTTCAGCTTGTTGAATTGTTTCAAATTTTGATACACTCCGTATTCAAACTTTGACTCAAATTTAAATTTGAGTTCAAATAATTCAAAATGTCTTTACGTAACTTGATTCAAACCCATATTAAATTGAGTTTTTTCTTTCTTTTTTATCCAAATCTAGAATAACTTATTTCTAAATCCAAATTTGCACTGGTTAAAAAAGATGATAGGATAACTTGTCTCTCATATTGACTTCCCAACTTACAAACTCAAGTTGACTTTGCCCTTTTTCACATAAAACTTTTACTCGGATTGGAATTTGCCATTGGAGAGTCTAGAAAGCTTACATTTACGTCCCTAGCCCATCAGGTGTGTTTGGATGCAGCGTATAAAATTTCTAGCTTTAGCAACAAACAAACAAAAAAAAAATTGACTTTTTTTATATAAAAAAAATAGAATATAATTTACTGAAGATGAATAAGTCAGTTTTTTGGCATTTGTTTGTCTTCAAAAGTCTAAAAAAAATTAATTCACAATCTTTTTGAAAGAAAATTTTAAAAATAAATCAACTTATAAACTGAGACAAATGAAGCCATTAGGTGTGTTTGTGATGCAAACACATCTTTTCTTGACTCATTTATCTTGTGTTTAGATTATGAAGAAAAATGACTTAGACCCCCGGTGGAGGTGACCGCCACCACCCCCACTGATTTTTGATTGGCTGAATTTATTTATTTATTTTTTTTTCGGGTCTTCCTCTCACTGCACCCCACGTGTATGTGGGGGTGCTGGGGATCTAGAGCAATGCTGGATTATGAATTTGGATAGAGAAAGGAAAATTAATAAAAAAAAATTAGTTAAATTCCATTTACATTTGCCTCAACTTTTCTCTTTCCTTTTCAAATTTCTATCCAAATTTATGATTCAAACACAGCGCAACAAGCAATGTGGAATGAGAAGTAAAAACACGAAAGCAGCTCAGATACTGAGAAAAGAAACGAAGTCCCACACTCAAATCTCCTCTTGTTTGATGCAGTTTCTTGCAAACTAAAAAAGACTCAATTTGACACAAATTCCTAAAATAAATAAATAAAACTATAAACAGTTCCTGTGAGCAGCATACCTTGATCATGTAAATTATTGATTAAAAAAAATCCAGTTGAAAATGAAGATTGGATTCAAGCAAAGAAACAACCACCCCGGTGTGCATTCTTCGTGTTCTGCTCAAATTACATTACAATTTACAAGTACTACTCAAAGGATGCAAAACCCTACCAACTCGGATTTCATCCGAGTTGGGAGTGGTGTTTACTTGATATCGACTAGCCCTACAACCCTATTTACATTACAATTTACAAGTATTACTCAAAGGATGCAAAACCCTACCAACTCGGATGTACTTCATGTCTGAGTTAAGAGTGGTGTCACTAGATATCGACTAGCCCTACAACCCTATTTTCATTCTTTTACTTAAAAATAAAAATAGGGTAGTAGACGGCAAAGATACACAAATTCCTAAAATAAATAAATAAAACTATAAACAGTTCCTGTGAGCAGCATACCTTGATCATGTAAATTATTGATTAAAAAAAATCCAGTTGAAAATGAAGATTGGATTCAACACACACACACACACACAAAAAGTCATGTCAATTTGCATTATCAACCCATGTCTTTCCTAGAATAGACTAAAGCAACTCCAGTTGCGTAGTATGTAGGTGTAACAGTATTTGAATTGCACAACACAGCATAAAACACTCACTCCGACAGTAATATATTGTGCTATAAAGCATACTTCTGTTGTTCTAAAATAGCACAAAAATTACAACAGCAGTCTCTAAATTTCTACATTTACGTCATCGCTACATGCCAAATAACATACAAAATCATAAATAAAATCACAATCATGTGACAGTAGCATACCTGTCAAAAAATATGCCTGAACTCAGAATCAAAACTAAGAAATTTAATTTAGCATTACAAAAACATTTTTTTTTCAATAGAGCATGGTAGAACAATCATGAAGTTGAACAAGCTGAATAAAATTCCAAGACTAAAAGCCACTGACCATAGTTTCCCCGTCTGGAGTATTCGATTCCTCTTTAAATGTTCATACCCAACTACGAGCCAGATTACCTCACAGCCAGATGCAGACAACAGGTTCTTGGGATCAAAAGCATAAATACTAACAATTATACCGATCCATAAGAAATTTAGTAATTCCCCAACTATGTGCTTCCAGGGGCATCGCTTCCAGCAGTAGACTTTCGATTCAGGTAACGAATAACGGCGTCTTCAACCCTATAACATGCACATTAAAATACATTACATTATGATCGATGCTTCTATATCTGCGGGGTAGAGGAAAAAGTTCATGATGCATGTTTACATATTAAGTTTTTATGTTAAGATTTATGAGAAGATTCTCCAACAAAAGTGCAGAAACCCTAAAATCCAGGAAAATGGAGTATCCTCCTGGTATTTTCAAGCAGAGTGTTCAAACCAAAACCATGAATTTAAGTCATTTAAATCTCTAATCCTCATTGAAAATGCATAAATCACTTCAGATTTGACTTGCCTTGTGTTTGCAAACAAGAATCTGAAAGGAATAGCGATTAATATTTTTTAGAAGGTAATACGAACACGAGGAATGCCAATAATCAAAGCATAGAATTATATCAAATGGCATCAACCGCTATTGGAAATTTGAGGAACGGGATTAGGAAACAAAAAACCATCATACCGACCATATCTACAAATATCAGAATCTATACTTAACAATTGGAATTTATCTTCAGCCATGATCACTCTGGGAAGTTAACTTTCTTAAATATCTTACCAAAAAAATCCAAATGTTAACATCAACAAAAGACTAGGAGCCACACACATACACATGCATTATAGAAGTTATCTCGATTTGAGATGTGATATCGGCCATTCTCTTAATAGTTTTTACAGAATATTTTTTAAAAAGCTCAGAGAACAGATAGATGGAAATAAGAAAATGAACACAATTGAGTATCTGTGAAGCAGTATAAAATATCACTAGGTTTTTGCTCACTTTCTCACACAGATACAGAGAGATAAAGATTAGTAATTGGACCATACCAGACAAGAATAATTTTAGAGGAACCGATAAGAGGAGAATCGTAACATACGATTGCCAAGGATAATGCTGATTAGGTGAACCACGGGATATACATATTAAAAGACACCCACAGATAAATACATATTGTGTGTGCAAAATAAATAGAAAAGACAACAAGCTTAC